GAAGGGATTAGCCAAAGAACATACATGCATGACCTATGGACACTGACAATGTGGGGATGGCAAGGGAGAGTGGAAGCTGGGTGGAGGTGGCAAAGTGGGGGAAATTTGGGATAGCATTAGTGTCAACGATAAAAATTAAAAAATTGCTAAATGCGACTTCTGGCCAAGATGGAGGTGTAGTGCCTCCTTGCATAATCAAAAGAAGGACAACAACAAATTTAAAAACAAAAAAACAACCAGAACTTCCAGAAAATTGAACTACATGGAAGTCCGACAACCAAGGAGTTAAAGAAGAAACACTTACCTAGACTGGTAGGTGAGACAGAGGCAGACAGCTGGGCAGAGAAAACTTGTGGCAAAGCAGCTGGCTGGAAGACCAGGGATCCCACATTTGCATGCAGACAAGCCAGGAGGAACAAATGGGGAGCAAGACAGACCATGCAACCCAGAGTTCCAGTGGGGAAATAAAGCCTCACAGCTTATGATTGAAAACACCTGTGGGTGTTGAGGCAGCAGTGGGAGAAACTCCCAGCTTCACAGGAGAGTTCAATGGAGAAACCCATAGGGTCCTAGAATGTACACAAATGACCCACCTGGGAATCAGTACCAGAAGGGCCCACTTTGCTTGTGGGTAGCGGGGGAAGTGACTGAAAACCAGCGGAGAGTGGAGCAAGCAGCACTATTCTCTCTGAGGCCGCCCCAACATGCAGCACCAGAACTCAGTGAGGGGGGTTGCCCTGCCCTGGTGAAAACCTAAGACTCCGCCCCTTACTGCATAACAAATGCACTGAGACAGAACAAAAATGACCCAAATGAAAGAACAGATCAAAGCTCCAGGAAAAATACAACTAAGTGACAAAGAGATAGCCAACCTATCAGATGTACAGTTTAAAACACTGGTAATCAGGGTGCTCAAGAATTGGATGAATACGGTCGCAAATTTGAGAAAAAAATGAAGGCTATGGAAAGTGAAATAAAGAAAAATATACAAGAAACCAACACTGACGGAAAGGAAACTGGGAATCAAATCAATGATTTGGACCAGGAGTAAGAAATAAACATTCAACCAGACCAGAATGAAGAAACAAGAATTAAAAAAATGAGAAGCTTAGGAATCTCCAGGACATCTTTAAATATTCCAGTATCTGAATCATAGTGGCGCCAGAAGGAGAAGAGGAAGAGCAAGAAATTGAAAACTTATTTGAAAAAATAATGAAGGAGAACTTCCGCAATCTGGCAAAGGCAATAGACTTCCAGGAAATCCAGGAAGCTCAGAGAGTCCCAAAGAAGGTGAACCCAAGGAGGAACACATCAAGGCACATCATCATTACATTACCCAAGATTAAAGATGAAGAGGGAATCTTAAAAGCAGCAAGAGAAAAGGAGACAGTTACCGACAAAGGAGTTCCCATCAGACTATCAGCTGATTCTCAAAAGAGACCTTGCAGGCCAGAAGGGGCTGGAAAGAAGTATTCCAAGTCATGAAAGGCAAGGACCTACATCCAAGATTGCTCTAGCCAGCAAAACTTTCATTTAGAATGGAAGGACAGATAAACTGCTTCCCAGATAAGGTCAAGTTAAAGGAGTTTATCATCACCAAGCCCTTATTATATGAAATGTTAAAGGGACTTATCTAACAAAAATAAGATAAAAAATACGAACTGTAAAATGGCAACAAACTCACAACTATCAACAACTAAAACTAAAAAAAACATCCAAAACTTAGAAAATAACCAGCACAGGAACAGAACCACAGAATTGGAGATCACATGGAGGGTTATCAGTGGGGAGTGGGAGAGGGAGAGAGGGGGAAAGGTACAGAGCATAAGTAGCATAGACAGTAGGTAGAAAATAGACAGGGGAAGGGTAAGAATAGTATGGGAAATGTAGAAGCCAAAGAACTTATATGTACAACCCATGGATATGAACTCAATGGGGGTAATTTGGGTGGGAGGGGGTGTGCAGGGCAGAAGGGAATAAAGGGGAAAAATGGGACAATTGTAATAGCATAATCAATAAAATATATTTTAAAAACATCACTAAATGTAGTAACAAAAAATGCACAAGGATCTTGCAAAACCAAGTGTTACTATATGGAGGATAGTATAGGGGCTGAAATTTTGATTTTTTAGAAATGTAGCAAGTACATTTTTCGATGACCCTCCCATTTTCATTTGAAAGCTTTGTAAAAATTCATCAAGCTATAATTTAAATGGTTTTGCAAAAATATACAAAAACACCCTATATCAAATATTTTCATCAGTCTATACTAGCAACTGGATTCCTTCTTCACTCTCCTGGTCAATTCTCATTAATAAAGAAAAAAGTTACTAAGAAGTAGAACAGAAGACAAGAAGTTACAATAGGATTATTTTGAATCCATTATTAAAGTAAAAAGATAATTCTCACATGAATTTCATATTAACAATCATTCAAAAGTTTCATTTATTTCTATAGTCTATCTTCTACTTTATTTTTTGTGTGTTTTGGTTCCATAAATAAGTACCTCTAGGTAGTCAGCTTCCATTATATGTCATTCGGGTTACTTCTTATACAGGTAAATGCATTGACATAGTACTTTGAATGATCAAGTCTAGAAGACAATTATATAAATAGTTGTATTTATGAGCCTAGCAATTGTTATTAATTTTAAGTAAATTTAAAAATTAACACAACTTCCATTTGGTTTGACAGGAACTCCACTGCAGATGATCGTCATGTACATCATCAGATGAAGTGGCTGACCACACCACAGCATAGAATCTGTCCCTGTAAAACTGTCAACCTTGTGCAACCTGGAGGGAATGAAAAATAACATTCATTTAAAACCCTGCCACTTTCGTTCCAAGTCTGTCTAGCATTTAAGGACATTCCATAGGTATATCTGGTCTCTGTAGCTTAAATAGAATACAGTCTAGCTTAGGAAAAAATGTATCTTTAAATAAAATTTAATAAGCAATTACTGGCAAAACCCTACCTTTCTGGGTGAGAAAGGTAGTCAGAAACCTTTGAAATTTATACGTTCACTGAAAAGTCAATTAGTCAGTCCACACTTCAGAAAAACAAAACAATCAAGATAATGGAAAATTCTGAAATAAAATCTAGAATCTAAAGATCACTGTCTCAGTATTTATTCCTCTAGTGTTAGGGGCTCCGAATTAGATAGGAAAGTTGGTGGCAGAATATACAGGGTCCAGCACAAGTAATGACTGTTATTTACTACAAAATCATAAGCATGTAATTCTCTAACAGAACAATATCACACTCAAGCACACCATATGATGTTTTAGGTGAAATGTTCAAATTAAAACTATGCATTATTACACCCATATTATTACCCTACCAACCACACTTAAGCAGGCCTCACTTCTGCCGGACCCTGCATATCTAAAAATCAAACAAACAAATAACAATGCATCCTCCCACCCATTTGTTACACATTTATAAAAAACTTCCATGCTCTGTATTTGGTGACTGGAATACATACTGTGGGGTCATTAATAGTTCTCACAAATCACAGCTCCAGAACCCTAAATCAAAGAATTCCACGACCAATATGAACTAAAAAGCAAATTAGTGACAGCTCATAGATGGAGAGCAGGCTGACAGTTGTTGGGGGTGAGGGATTGGCCAGTGGGAGACGGAGGGATTGAGGAAAAAAGAAAGAACTTGGATAGCACTGTGGTGAATGCTGGGGGGGGAGGTGGAGGAGGCTGTAGGGGGATGAATGGCAGTGAACACTCAGTCCAGTGTACAGATGACATGTTGTTGTAGAACTGTGCACCTGACATCTGTATAATTTTGTTAACTAATGTGGCCCAAATAAATTCAATAAGAAGGAAAAAAAGGAAATTCTATGGCCACAACCAGTTAAAACAGCGACTGAGACTGATTTATATTGGGAATATCTTCACCAGTCAAAAGCAATACCGAGGCCCAGTAAGAGCACACACACTGGGCCACCACCGGACGTGCTACGTTTCCGCCTGGTTCAGTGAGGGAGTATTGCAGTAAAAGGGAGCTCTAACACTGTGAATCATCAAACACCCTGTGTGGAGACACTCAGTGGCTTTGGTATGCTAATACAAAACTTCCTTTAAGCGAACTCTTTGCTATATTCTTTAAAATAATTGCACAAGTAAAAAGCGAATGACAATAATAATTAATAAGAAATATGCAGGTAGAGAAACTGCCGCTCTGGTCCTGAAGCAACCTACATGATCTGTTTATACCTGCCAGGTACTGACCAGACAGGTTAGACTAGTAAATCAGGCTGGGGAAGTCTTACTACTAAGTATCTAATTTAGGACCAAAACCAAGTGCATACAAGAATAGAACAGTTTGACACTCTTATGCAAGTTGCCTTTCTCACAGCTGATTTCCTTACATTCATTCTAAGAGTGGTCAGGTTGGTATCAACAGCATGTGGTAAGGTCCAAAAATTCACCTGGCCCGTCTTTAGGATTAGTGGTTAAGGTGTTTCTTTCCCCGCTACAAACTGGCAGCAATACTGCATTGCCTAATATTACATCTACAAAGTTCAAGATTTCTGTGATTAAAATCGTATGTACATACTCACATTTCTCAAACTGGCTGCAATTATCAGCATACTCACAGCTGATTATTATAAGAGTGAGACAATTTCAGGCTTTCTTTTTGAAAATAAATTATTTATTGTATTCTATTCTGGTTCTTAACGTAAAGTGTCATTTGCTCTATATCACTTTTTCATGGAAAATTATTTTTCTCTAAAGATATTTTTTATTTTGAAATTACTTCATACATTGCAAAATTACAAGAGCACAAAAAACCTCTTTTATTCCATGAACTACCTGAAGGTATGTTGTTAAAATCATTGCCCATCACCCCTAAATACTTTGATGTGTAACTCTTACAAACATGACCTATTTCCTGAAATCCTAAATGACCACAATACAACCCTCAAAAGAAGAAATTAGTGTTGCTACAGCCTATCATCTTACCCTCAGACCCAATCACACTTTGCCAACGGTCCCTTTCATGCCCCGCAACAGCGAACTGATCCAGCGCTGAGTCACGTGTCGCATTTCGTTGTCACGTTTCGTCAGTCTCCTCTGTTCTGGGCAAGGTCCTCAGTCTTTTCTTGCCTTTGACAACTGTTACACTTTTGAATATGATAGGCCATCTCTTATGGAAGAGAAAAGTGGAGACATCTCTCTGACTGGGGGTATCTGGTGTTTTCTTGTGGTCACATTCAGGCTACACATTCTTGGCAAAACTCTTCCAAAATTAATGTTATGATATTCTCGTGGCTGTGGTACGTGATTTCAATTTGGACCATTACAGATGATACTTACTTGGGCCACTCAGTGAATTTCATTTTAACTCAGTGGATTTTTAAAAGCATACCTGTTTACATTTTTAAGACAGTTACTTAAGGACGGTATAATTTCCACTGTCTACTGGAATTGATATCAGTTCATGTAAAATGTAAACATTTTGTAAGCTCAGGTCCTTTCGACCCCCAGCAGTTACAGTGCAGAACCATATGTCATTTGTATTACAACTATGTAGATTCTAAAACCCATAGGAATGTGCTGTACTTTGTTGCTTTAAAAAGTCACTTTAATGACATTAAAGTAAAACTCTTTTATATTTTACCCAAATATCTGCCATTTGTCATTACTTCCTAAGAATTAATTCCCCTCTGGTATCGTTTTCCTTCAGACCGAAGAATATTTCGTATAGTAGTTCAAACCTGCCGTGAACTTTTTTCTTAGTTTTCTACCTTAAAATTGTGGACAAACAATATTCCCCAAACTTTAGAGATATTATCTTTTTCTGGCGTAGATGGGTTCTGGTAAGAAGTGCAGTCGTTCGTATCGCTGTCACTCTGTGTCTAAGGCTGACTGGGCCCCACCTGCCCCCACGCGGGATGTTTTTCAGACTGTTTTGGTTTTCCACAGTTTGCCATTATATGCCCAGGATTTTCGGTTGTTTTGTATTAATTCCATTTGGGGTTTGCTAGCTTGTTTGAATCCATAAATTATTTCTTTCACTTGATCTGGGAAGTTTTCAGCCATTATTTCTTCAAAAATTTGTTCTGCACCATTCTCTCTTCACTGTGTGGGGCTCCAGGTACATATTTAAAAATTTTTGATATTATCCCACAGGATCCTGAGGATCTATTCATGCTTTAAAAAAAATATTTCCCTTCTCCAGGTGGGAAAATTTGTATTGATCTAATTCCAGTTCATTGCTTATTTCTTCTGTCATTTTCATTCTATTATTAGCTCTATGCAGTGATTTTTAAAAGTCAGGTATTTTATTTTTCAGTTCTGCAATTTCATTTAGTTTCTTTTCCTATTTTCTATTTTTATTCTGAAAATTCATGCACCTTCATACACTATAATTGTGTGTTCCTTTGCTTCACTGAGCTGAGTTCCTACAGTTTCCTCCAAGTCCTGACCCGACCCCCCCATCGGGGTCATCTCCGCGCTGGCCTCCATTACCTTCACCCTGGAAAATGGGTGACGGTGTTCTGGTTTTCTTCCTATGTCCAGTAATTTAGGATTGTCTCCTCGATATTTTGAACGCTATGCTGTGGATACTGTGTATTCAATAAATTCTGAAGAGTGTTGTCATGTTGGTTTTGTAGGGATGTCACACTGCTTAAACTACAAATTTGGCCTTGCAGACATTAGATCAAATGTCATTTAATTATTTTAGCCTAAACCTGCTCTCAGTTTTCTGTTTGTGTGTGGTTTGGAGCTCAGCCTGAGACTGGGAAAGTTGATACCCAGAATTTTAGACTCCTGTTCCCCAGATTTCTGCTTTTCCAAACCTAGACTCCCTTCACTGTGTGAGGCTTTGGTTGTCCTCTTTTCTTCAGGCCAAAAAACCTGGCGGGTTTTCCGTCAGAGTTTTGGCCACCCTGTCCCGTGACTGTGACTGTCCTCAGGCTAAGCCTCAACATGGGAAACTCGCCCCATCCCAGAGCCTTCTTTTCAGTTTTAACTCCTCTCCAAAGTACGTGCTTCTGTTCATTCTCAAGAACCTTTAGGTAATGGGAATTTTTGTTGTTGCCCAGAGTTTAAGTTCTCTGTAGAGGGACTGATCTATTAGGAACTTGTTCCACCATAACTGAAGGATTCAGTCTAAACTTATTTCTAAAACAATGAAAAAGATCACATATTACTAGCCTAGAACCTCATAATTAGAAGCTTAAGGATGTCTTTAGGAATAGAAGTTGAATTAACAAAATTAAATATAACCTTCACTGACATTCCAATTTTATTTCTTTAACATACCCCCAAAATCTGTGTACCATGGGCAAATCATAGAATATTGGCTTTCAGTATCCAGCAAATGTGGGCCTAATGTGCACCACGCAATGTCCTTGGCACTTGGAATGCAGTGTGTGAATAAATTCCCTACACTCAAGGAGTGTATATCCCAGTGTGAAACACCAACAATGAACACACAAATACATACAACAATTTCAAGTTGTGGTAAGGTGCTATGAAGAGAAGAGAAAGGGGGTAAAAGGAGGATTTGCTGGTTTGAATACGATGGATGACAACTCTGAGGAAGTGACTTGAGTAAAATGAGAGGGCGACATGCAAGGATCCAAGGAAAGGTGTTTCAGGTAGAGAGAAGAGCAAAGGCAACGGTCTGGAGATGGGAAAGGGCCTGGCTCATCTGGTGAATGGGAAAGCGGAGTGCAGTAAGTGAGGGCAACAGTTATCGGGAAGGAGCCTAAGACAGTGATTTCTAACTACTGCACCACATGAGTTTTTTAAACCTGCAATACCTATCTGACTGTTTAGCCAGGGGCACTGACCTCTTTCCCCTTAGACAGTCAAATTAAAAAATCACAACAGCCAACACAATAGCTATAATGGTGTGAATGAAACAAATGATACTTATTTTTTAATTGTCAGATTGACAAAATACATTTTTGTGTGCTGCAGAATTTTAGTAATTAGCTTATGCATGCCATGAGGTGAAAAGGGTTGAAAATAGCTGGCTCAGTTGGTTGGATCACCATCCTGTACGCCAAAAAGTTGAAGGGTCGACTCCCAGTCCGGGCACACACCTAGGCTGCACTTTCGACCCCTGGTCAGAGCACGTACTGGAGGCGACCAATCAATGTTTCTCTCTCTCTGTCTTCCCTTCTCTCTAAAAGCAATGAACACATCTTCAGGTGAAGATTAAAAAAAGGGAGAGAGAGAGATGTAGCCAGAGCATGTTAGATAGGGACTCATGTAGACCCTTGTCGAGTTTTTGATTTATTCTCTCTGTGATAGGAAGCTATTGAGAGGTCAAAAATAGGAGAGTTATATATTTTATGTTTTATTTTTAGTTTCATAAACACTTGATTTATTTACTACCAGAGAGAGGAGAAAGAGGGGGAGAGAAACATCATTGTGCAAGAGAGACTTTGATTGAATGCTACTCACATGACCCCAGCTGGAACCTGTCCTGCAACCCAGGCATGTGCCCTGACCGAGAATAGAACCAGAGACCTTTCAGTTCATGGGCCAGCACTCAATCCACTGAGCCACACCAGCCAGGACATTATTTTTAAAATAGGAAAATGAGACTGGTTGCTGTATAGGGAGAGCACTGTTGAAGTGGAAGGGAGGCAGGGGTTCTAACTAGGAACACTAATGGAGGGGTGCGAGGTCATAACCATGTTTTATTTTGAAGCAGGATTTGCTGATGAATTTAAAGAGAGACATGAATGAAAAAAATTTTCTCTTTTTCATATTTTAATTGTTATTAATGTGATTATTGATTTATGGCACAATGGGTCATCATTTGCATTGTGTCATTTTCATTGTTTTACTTTGCTATCGATGAACACATTTTCACTCACTGATATTTTTTGGTTGGCTAAATAAACTAACACAGGTTGGTACATATAAAGGTAGAATCTTAGTACATTTATTTGCAAAGTGAATGAAATTTTGATTTTGATATGCAAGTTTTTATATTTTGGCATGCCTGTGTAACTGTGAATACTGTGTTTACTCAGTTCTCCCACTTCTCCTGACATAGTCTGCTGTAAGTTTCAGGATGGGGTTCAACCCAGGGCCATTGGTTTTTACTTAACAGCAGGAAGTGAAATTGATGATCAGCACTGTTAAAATATAGCCACCCCAGGTATCCAGAATGTGCACATATGAATCAAAAAGTACAAAGTTCAAAATTTTTTGAGACATGAACACTTTAAAACATACTTGGCATTTTCATAGAATGGATATTCCACAAAACTGTTCAGGGTATTACTTGTATTAATAAATTCTAATTTCATTCCTTGCTGCTGTGGCTCAGTTGGTTGGAGCATCATCCTGTAGCCAAGGGGTTTTGGTTAGATTCCCAGGCACATGCCTGGGCTGCAGGTTCGATCCCTGGTCAGGGCACATATGGGAGGCAACATTTTGGTGCTCCTCTCTTGCATCGATGTTTATCTCTTCCTCTCTCTCTAAAAGCAATGGAAAATGTCTTTGGGTGAAAATGAAAAATTGTAATTTCTAAGTAGAAACACTAGTATTCTTTAAAATTAATTTTGTAAAAGATTATTTTTTCAGAGAGCCCTAAATTGATCTTGATACAAACATACATCCATCTGTATTTAGATAGATATGTACACATACTAAATTGCAAAAAAACAGTAGGGGAATAAGAAATAATTCCATGCTGCTGGTACTGATCTGTTTCAAGTTCTTTGTCTAACTCCTAGCTCATTTTACCATGGCTGGTTAAGGCCCTGGAAGAATATTCCCAAACCTCCCAAACAACAATTTGTTACCTCAAAAAGCTGGTTTACAATATAGAAGCTCTTCTATTTCTTGTACTGATCATTACCTAATAACGAAATCAGGATAAAAGATAAGAGACTATGTGAATCAAAGCAAGGTACACCCCAGGCCGAGAACCTCTTTCAAAGCTATGGTAGTTGGTAGTTGTTTTTTTTTAAATCTTCACCTAAGGGGTCGGGAGAGGGGGAGAGAGAGAGAGAGAGAGACAGACATCATCTGTTGCCTCTTGCAAGTGTTCTGACCAGGTAGCGGTGCATCCT